TCTTTCCCTTCTTGTTTTCTTCCCTTTCCCCCCACCTTGGTGTTCAGGTCACTCTCATTTTTCTTGGTTTCTTTTTCTCCCTCTGTTCTTTTTCATGGTTTGGTTTTTTTTTTATTTTAAATAAAAATGGAGATGGCTGCTTCTCATAACAGTGGTGACCTTAAAACACGTGCAGGGGCTGTTTGAGAAATGACTGTTACTATTTCTTCTCACTTCCCTCTTTCCCCCAGCCTGGCTCTCCTTTCTCTACCACCACCGAGACGACAGTTCCCCCAGAACGACTCCTCCCACCTTCCTTCTCAAAGCAGCTTTTACTTCCCCATTCCTCAGGCTCTGGGTCAGATGTTCATTGCAGAAAGTCCCTTGACCTGCTGCCCACGGTCTTCTCTGGGTGCTGGTGGGTGTCTTTGCTGCAAGGAGGTATTGTTGGCTCATCTTCCACTTGGTGGCCACCACAACCTCCACCTCCTTCTCTGCCACACTGCTCTCCAGCCTGTCCTGGTGTCCAGAGCAGCTCTTCCCCATGGGCAGGACTCAGCATTTTCCCTTCTTTGAAGTTTGTGTGATTCCCACCTGGACCAAAACAAAGCTGCCTTTGAAAAGCCATTTTGCATCATGGGTTTCAAAATTAAAATAGCCCCTGGGGTTGTGAAAGCAGAGAAGGAGACCCATGATGTGACTTGTTCCTTGTGGAAAAGAGCAGTGAAATTGCTTTACCACTTTTAAACAGGTCAAGGAGGTTCAAACTCAGTTGTTCTCACCTGCTGTGGGCAGTGGGAAGGAGGTGGCTGCTCTTTCCCATCATTAACGTCCCACAAGTTGGATGGTCATCTCCTCCTCCTTCATCTCCCCTGTTGGTGCTGGTGGAGCTGAGCACAGACATCTCAAAGGCACAAATTGCATCTGGCAACACCCCCAGCAGCCATTCCCACTGCCTCTGGTGGTCTGTGCTGTGCAGGATATCATCCATCCTACCTCAGATATCCATGTTCTACCACCTACGGAACCACCCCTTGCCCTGGGGTCTGTAGCTGCACGTGCTGACACCACAAGTGTCCAAAGCCAGCTCAGCTCAGCCCTGCCCCAGGTGTCCCCTTGTCCCTCTTCAACCCAACCTTCCCCTTCTCACTTCCCTCCTTTCTGGAGATGTGGAAAGTGCAAATTTCTCTCCCTGGGGTTCAAAATGTCTTTCCCATCAGTGAGTGGTGGCAAAGGCAGACATGGAGAGGAACTCACCCCTGGTGGAACAGGGTCTCCTTGCTTCTCCCACCAGGACTTCAGGAGGATTCCTTTTTTGCTCCCTGTGTCTATAAGAAGCCATTATCTCCCAGCTTTCTTGGCACACACCAGGGAGACTTTGGCCACCGATTTTAAAGGCCAAACTGAGACTCTCCTTTTCCCAAGGGTCTCCCCTTCCCTGCCCCCCAAGGCTCAGGGGGACAATGGGGGCTGAGTTGGCCCTGGTTGACCTGACCAGGGTTCCTGCTATGGGGTGGGGGAAGCAGCACAGCCCCTTTAGGGCAAGGTGGCCCCAACAGAGCTGATAAGAGAGGACCAGGAGGGCAAACAGCCCAGGACACACAAGCTGACAGTGCTGGGTTAAAGAATAACCTGGGAATGAGCAGGAAGTGTTTGGGAACAAAGAAGGATCCTGCTGCTGGACCCTGGTTAATTGAGTGTTGTTAATAAACCAGCCAACTGCTTTGATCCTGACTTGATTTCATCCAGGTGTCACCAGGGTCCTGCAGGCAACAGTATCAGGCTGGGTGTGTTGGGTGTGAAGGACCAACATCAGAGCTCCTCTGGTCCCTTCTGGCCAGGGAACCATGGAGATGATGGCTTTTGTTGCCACCAACAAGGAGAAGGAAAGCAAAGGTGTGGAGCAGTGGGTTCCTGGGTAGTGCCTGCTCCTGGGGCCATTCCTCACTACAGCATCTTAAGATGCTCTCAAGGGGTCTTTGTTTGGAGTCAAGGTCACCCAAATACCCTGTTCAGCCTCAACTTTAGCTGCCTGAACTTCAGTGAGATGCACGGGGCTGTTCATCACCCATGAGGTCTGAGGATGAAAAACTCTTTGATGGAGACTCCTTTTTTACACAGAGTCCCATGGAAAAGACAAGGGCTGATGGGTGCAAGTTACTCCTGGGGAGATCCCAACTGGACACCAGAAGAACATTTTTCCCTATGAGAACAGACTTTGGGATAATCTCCCCAGGGAAGTGGGGGATTCCCCAGCACTGGACAGTTTGCAGACTCAGCTGGACAAGGTTCTGGGCCATCTCACCTAAACCATGTTCCTACCTAGAAAGGTGGGAGCAGATGACCCTGGAGGTCCCTCCTACCTGGGATCCTGTGATTCCATTATTCTATTCCCTGTGTTGCTCCAGTTATTTGACATTCATGAAGTTAATTATCGACTCTATATAATTATCCTAAATATGATTCTCACTTGGAGACCCAAGTTAACATCCTGAGTCAGCTGAGGATATTGAACCAGCTTCTAAGTCAAGAAACCCTCAGAAATGTTCTCCATCTGGGATATTTATTCAAAACCCGAGAGCACCACCCACATTTCCATCCTGCCTGGCCACAAACTGAAAACACTTGAGGTCATTTTCCTCTTATGAGTCTCCTCAAAGCCTCCTTCACCCCCTCATTCCTCAGGCTGTAGATCAAGGGGTTGAGCATGGGCGTCACCACGGTGTAGAGCACTGCAGCCCATTTGTCTTCTCTTGAGCTGCCTGAGCTGGGCTTTAGGTACATGAAAATGGAGGTCCCATAGAAGATGCTGACAGTGGTGAGGTGGGAGGTGCAGGTGGAGAAGGCTTTGCGCTTGCCCTGGCGGGAGGTGATCCTCAGGATGGTGGAGATGATGGCCACGTAGGAGACCAGGATAACCAGGCTGCTGGACACTCCAAATAAAGATGCTGAGGTGGCCAAGATCAGGTGGCTGAGGGTGGTGTCCGAGGTGGAGAGTGAGATCAGAGGGGAAATGTCACAGAAGAAGAGGTCGATGACTCTGGAGCCACAGAAGGACAAAGTGGCCATGCTGATGGTCTGTCCCACGCCGTTGGTCAAGCCCACGAGATAGGAGCCAGTCACCAGCTGGAAACAGCTCTTTGGGGACATGGCAAGGGGGTAGAGCAGGGGGTGGCAAATGGCCACGTACCGGTCATAGGCCATGGTGGCCAGCAGGAAACACTCAGTCATTCCAAAGATGTCAAAAACAAAGACCTGAGCCACACACCCCGCGTAAGAAATGGCCTTCTCCTCTGACAGGAAGTCCACCAGCATCTTGGGGGCAATGACAGTGGAAGAGCAGAGGTCTACGAAAGCCAGGTTGCCCAAGAAATAGTACATGGGGGAGTGGAGCTGAGGGCTGGCCCTGATTAACACCATCATCCCAAGGTTCCCCAGGATGGTGGCAAGATAGATGAGCAGGAACAGCAGGAAGAGAGTGACCTGAGCCAGCGGGTCCTCTGTGAATCCCCTCAAGCTGAACTCAGTCACCTGGGTGCAGTTGGTCTCTGCCATCAGCTGGACACCTGCTTTTGGTGTGAACTCCTTGCTGGAGGTGTCTTCTTCTTCCACAGGTAGGGCTCTCCCAGGTGGAAAACCCTCTCTCTGGTGGGACCTGCTCGGTGACAATCAGAGAAGAGCAAAAAAGAAGAGTTTAGGCACAGCTCAGTCAGGTGCTGGTGAGGCCCCACGGCCCAGCATGGTCCTCTGATCCACCTCTGGATGTTCAGCAAAGACCTTGGTGAAAAGCTGTAGGAGGTTCCAGCCCTGAGGAGCTTTCCCTTGGTGCTGCATTTCCTCCCTTGCCTCAGCATCCAGCCCGGAGGTCTGAGATCTTCCAGCTCAACCTGAAACACAGAGAAACCTGGTGCTCCCACAGCCCTGAGCTGATCCTTCATCCTCACATCAGAGCTTCCCAACCACCTGCTTCCCCTCCTCCTCTGCTGGGACGTCTTCCTAACAGTGAAACCTCCCCAGATGTTGGCATCAGGTTCCCCTCCCTCCTGAAATGCTTCTTCAGCATCAAAAGCTTTTCCCAGGTCTTCAGCCTGTTCCCAGAGTCTTCAAATGGACAACCCTCCCAAACTGAGCAATTTCTCCTCAAAAACAAGGGGTGGGCAAATAATATTTTGGACCTACCTCATCTCAGCAATGGTGGCCTCCATAAGTCCAGGGAAGCTTCTGGTCCTCGTCCAGGATGTGGTCAGTGAGGAGGGAAAGCCCCTGAGCCTGCTCTCCAACGGGGTGGTCTCCAGGTGGTGATGTTCCCTTCTCAGCAGATGTGTGGTGAGGACACAGGATGGGCAGCTCCCTGGTTTTGGTGGCCAGGCCAGAGTACCACGAAGAACTGAAGCCCAGGAGCAGGAGATGAAGGCAGGAGCTGTTTCTTTTGTTGGCAAGAGAAAAGGCTGGAAGGTGGGTGGCTCAGCACACACTGTCCTTGCTCGTGGGTCTCCAGTTGGGTTGACAGATGATCCTCACAGCTCAGCACTAGCTCAGCTTTCCTCCTGATACTCCTGGAGATGGATGTGAGGACGTGCCTGCCTGAAGCTCTGCAGAGCTGGAAAATAAACCCCCACCAGCAAACACCCTGAGTGTGTCACATCACATGGGGACCTGGGGACCGTGGATCTCCTGGAGCCTCAGGAGAATGCAAAGCCCACAGCAGGTCATTATCTTTGCTCTGCTCTTCTTACTTTGGAGAAGAAGTGTGCCCAGAGGAGATGACCTCATGTTGAGCAAGCAGAGCTTTGGGCTCTCTTTGGAGCAAACCACAGAGCAAGGTCCTGTTCTCACATCACTTTTTGAGGGTTTCAGAGGCAGCAGCAGCTCCACAAGTGTCATGTTTGACATTACCATGGCAGGGAGGTGAGGAGGACCTTGCCCACAGAGCACAGCCTGGGGGTACAGGCTCCAGCAGCAGCCCCAGGGACCATGGATGATGAACCACCAACTTAAACCCCTTGTTTGCAAACTGTATCTCCCAACTTTGGCGGCAAGAAACCAACAGAAGGTCATGGTGACCTTGCCAAAGTTGAAGTAGGTGCCATCCACTGCTCCCCTCTTCATCCACAGTCACCATCTCCTCGCTTGGGTTGGCCAAGCCCTTGGTACATCCATGCTGGCTACTCACAGTCACCTCCTGCCCTTCCTCTACCTGGAGAAGGCTTCCAGGGGGATCTGCTCCTTAATCCTGCTGAGGAGAGGTGCATCCTGCAGTCCTTGTGCCCTCTGTCCTGGGGAGGACATTGACTTTCTTCCACCCATCAGGTTGGAGATGTTCCAGCCCAAAGGGGCAAACGAGGGGGAGAGGTGCCCAAAACTGGAAGGAAGATGATGGGAAGGATCAGAAGAGGAGCAGGAAGAAGGACTGAAGAGGGAGAAAAGGCCCTTTGGAAGGCACAAAGGAAAGCCCTAGTGCTGGCCCTGGCCCTGGTGGAGGCTCCCAAGCCCAACAGGAGAGGTGGTGAACCTCCTTCTACAGCCTTTTCAATTGCAAGTGCCAAGGGCAGTAGAAGCCACTGTAGGAGAAGGTTGGATGATGTTCTGCAGAGCAGGAATTTGCTCGGACATAGAAAGTCCCAGCCCAGCAGAAGGTCGAGCGGGGCAGCAGGACGAGGCCCCCAGAGTCAGACACCAAAGGAAGGGAAATGTCAGGTGCATTCCCACCAGGGTTTGGCCAGATCCAGGATCTCCCTCTGCTCCCTGTGAAAGGAAACCACATCAAGCAGGAGGGGGTCAGACACCACCTGGGAGCCCAACGATTCGGGTCTTGCAGAGAATGCCCTTCCTGTGCACGCCCAGGAGAACCCCCCATCATTTAATCCCCAGCTGGCTTGGGTTGGAGGGACCTCGAAGATCATCCAGTCCCATCTCTGCATGGGCAGGGACACCTCCCACCAGCCCAGGCTGCTCCAAGCCCCATCCAACCTGCCCTTCAACACTGCCAGGGATGGGGCAGCCACAGCTTCCCTGGGCAACCTGGGCCAGGCTCTCACCACCCTCACAGGGAGGAATTCTCTCTTCATGTCTCACCTCAATCTTCCTCTTGGAGTTTTCATCCATCCCCCTCATCCCATCCCTCCCTGCCCTTGTCCCAAGCCCCTCCCCAGCTTTCCTGGAGCCCCTTCAGGCACTGGAAGGTGCTCTCAGGTCTCCCTAGAGCCTCCTCTTCCCCAGGCTGAACACCCCAACTCTCCCAGCCTGGCTCCAGAGCCTGATGAAGCCACCACCAGCCTCTCATCAACCTTCTGGACAACATTTTGAGGTCCCAAACCCTTCCAGTGCCTCATCCTCACCAACTTCATTTCTCTCCAGCAGCAGCAGCAGCTGCTGAGCAGCCCTGGGTCCCCTCCACCCCCCTCCCTGCTGTCAGCTCTTCTCCTCACACCTCCTCATCCCCCAGCTCGATCGGGCCCCGCGGCCACAGCCCCAGTGACAGCAGGAGATGGATGGGATGGGGACGGCGCCGCGGGACACGGGACATGCACCAGGAGAGGGTGGGGGAGATGGTCCTTGCCCAGGCTTGGAGGAAACTGCCAGTTCCCTGCACCACAGGCAGGGCTTCCAGCCCTCGCCCAGTGCCACCGTCACCGGGGCACCCACGGGGACAGAAAGCCACCAGAATTCCCATGGGGTTGGCCCCTGGTCCCCAGCATCCCCACAGGGATGGCCCCTGGGCCCTCCAGACCCCCCAGCATCCCCACAGGGATGGCCCCTGGGCCCTCCAGACCCCCCAGCATCCCTCATCCCACCCAAATACCCCCCTGTGGGGGGAAGTGATGGTGTCCACAGTCCCACTGGAAAGGACATGCCGGGGCTCTGGGGTATCCCCTCCCCACCCTGCAGCCCCCATGCTGGTCACCTCCCTCCACCCACATCCCTCACCCCTGTCCCCATCCATCCCCCACCAGCAGGTACTCAGCACAGGGATGGGAAAGGTGAGGAACTCATCCCTGAGGCAGGTCTGGGGGTCCCAGGGCAGAGATTTGGGGACATTTGGGATGGGACATTTTGGGGCTGGGGGAGGGAACACCCCCCCCCCCCACCCTTCCCCAGAGCTGCAGAGGCTTTGCTGGAGCCACCAGCACTGAAATGTTTAATATCAGGTGGTGACAGTGACATTTGCCCAGGGGAGAGGGGCCCTGCAGCCCCCAGCTCAGACGTGTGACACAAAGGGGACAAGGAGATACCCCCACCCTCCCAAAAAGAACCCAGAAGAACTGTCCCAACCCAGGGTACCCCCAGACCCAGCTGAGGATCCGCAGGGGTCCCGGAGGTCCCACGGTCACTGCTCACCTCCTGTCCATCATCATGGTCACATCAAGGCAGGGAAGGGGGGGGCCGTGCTGCAGCCCCCCCAGGGACCACCAGAGCTCCAGCCCCCACGTCTCCACCCCCCAGACTGGGGCATAAAACCCCCGGCAGCAGCGTGGGGACGG